TTGATTAATGTTTTGAAATGAGTTTCTTTCAATCAATTTCACTGACTGCTTAACGAAATTGTTGATGCGCTATCCTTGCGTGCCTTGGAGACGTCTACGTTAGACAGTATCTTCAACGTTGCCCATGCTGCATAAGTTTCTGAGCTTCAGCAGAAGATAACCTAATTCTGCAGCAGTCCTTTGAGACACTCGTACCAGACTGTTCTTTGTAGCGCATCGGATCTTTCGCCGTGGGTCGAGCAAATACTAGTTGTTTCACCGTCCGTCCTTGAAGCATTCGCAAGAGGCCTAAAAAAATGCAGCTCTGGCATCTCACTGTGAGAAAGTAGTGGCGCTGTGCTAGGGATATCGCTGATATCCGAATAATGGAGCCTGTGCATATATGTATGCTTGAACCAACGATTCGTTTAAAAGAATCTATTTCAGCTGTTTTTCATTAAGTCATCGACTCATGAGCATCAGTTAGTATTTAAATGAAGATGAACAAGAACAGCTTGGACTTCAGATTTAACCCTACCATAGTCACAATAATTCCATATAGTTCACAGAGAAGTCGCTAGCCGCCCAGATTCGATGCTCGACTTCTTCCTCCCATTGTTCATTTTTAGTAAATAGCGGTCGGAAGGGGTAAAGGAGACTTTTATCCGCCAACTTTTCAGAGTGTGCGTCAGTTTCCCGAAAGCCCATTCGACCTTTGATAACCATTATTGCGTGCGATAGCGTTAATAACATGTGGGGGCAGGTGGCAAAGTTTTGCGGCTGTTACTTTTCTATGGTCCGGAGCTTTGTTCATTTCTTATCCAAGCTTGGCAACGGTGGAGTTTAGTTTTCTTTTCTTTAGTTGGTTTAACATGAAAGTTTGGTATTTACAGCAAAAAATCATTTTTATGCATAACAAAAAAAACCATATGACAAGAACATATCCCTATAAGGTGATGACACTAAAAAACTGTCATCTGCTGAAGTTTCGTTGTTTATCTTTATATTCGGATATTTTTCGTTTTTAGTTTTATTGCACTTATCTTGATTTTTTAGCATTCGGTCATGATCAGCAAACTGTCTTCCACATTGCTGCGCAATGTTCGCCCCGCTTTGCGTAGTCCGGTGCGTACCTTTGATGGACTGGGTCCGTTGGTGACTCCTCCTATGGTGTTTATTCCGTTTTGGGTGTGGCTTTGTCGTTTTTAATAAATGCCTAATGAACTTCTTTTCATCTGGTCTTTTCAGGAAAAATGTCTTCATTGTGCGATATTCATCACCATGGTGATGGCTTATCCGACGTGGGTACTCTACCATATCGACTACTACAGAAAAGTAGTTGCAGGCGAAATCGAGGGCAAATAACTGAGCAGTTTTCAAGTATAGAATATGGCAAACATTCAGCAGAGAAAAGCTGTTTGTCGATGGCCACTCGTTGCTGTGTGCTGCTGTAGCTGCTTATAACTGGCATTGATGTAATGCATAAATTTTTGCTTATTCCAGCGTTTAAATGCTTTGATGTTTTGATCAAAATATGAAGGTAAATTGTGGACAGTACTTATGGTTCTTTGCGTGCGTACTTCTAATTTCTACGTATCATAAAGTTAAAATATTTTAAATATATGAAATATATTGTTTTTTAACTGAGATAGAACGGTTTAGATATCTCTGAGTCTTTCAGCTTTTCTCTAGTTTGTGATTTGGGTAGAGATCATTAATCTTAGAAACGGTGCTATGTGGAGTTTGGGTATCGATTCTTCTTTCGCATGTATCCCGGGTGAGTGGTATTAGTAATGCCTGCATGTTAACTATACTGTTGTCATTATTTTTCCCATATATTCATGCGGACATGAAGTAATATGATCGAGGAAGTTTGTGCTCAATATAGATTTTTTCCAGCGAAGCTAGCTAGAAATTGCTTTGCGAAAATGGGACACTCATGATTGATTGTATGACATTTAAATAAAGGACTATCGTAAGCGATGGTCTGCGACGGAACGTTTGGTATATATAACCTGATATGGATGTGTAAGAACAACTGGAATTTCTTTTTTCGTTATCACTGCTGAAAACGTGGCAGATTTTGTGAATTTTTCTCAGTCCTGAAATTTATTCGCGGTCATGAGGGATATTTCAACCGTTTAAAATCTGTTGACAGTAGTTGAAATGCATTAGAAAATTCAAAAATGACTAATTAGCTTTCACCAGTCGCCTCCACTCTACC